GCTATTGTTTTAAAATTTAGGTTGGTGCAAAAGTAATTGTGGTTTTTGCCATTACCTTTCATTGTAAAAACTGCAATAACTTTTGCACTAGTCTAATATTGTTAAGTTCCACTTTTAGGGAAGCAGAGGCTTGTGCACAAAGTTTCCAAATAAATATTTCTCATTAACACGTGATTAGGTGTGCTTAATTAAATAAAAAGTAAGGAAACAGAATAAATCGTGGCTGACATCTTTAAAGGTTGCATTCTGGCATTTGTTTCTTGATAGTGACCATTCATCTATCCCTTCTTGAGTTGTCTAGCTAGAGAACTCTGTATTTCAGCAGTGAGTGACAGTTTTCTCATCTGTACTTCTTATTTGCCTCCTATTCAATTATAGAAAATGCATTGCAGATACTGGTATATATTTTGCTTTGGACAGGTTTCTACCCCTGAATTACAAGCCAAATTTAGCATCTACCAGGGGAGAAGGCGGCTGTGGTGTTTGGAGTTGTGTGGTTGTAGAAAATTCTGTGAATGAGAGAGGCTCTTTTAAAAAGCTTGTTATCTATATAGTCTTGCTCTTTCAAGTATGGTCCATAAAACAGGTGTGTGGAGATTGTGAGTAATGTAGACAGAAATCTCAGATGCCACCACAGACCTACAGAATCCGAATCAATGCTTTTTAAGATGACCCCCGATGATTCCTCTGAGTGTTAAGTTTGGTAAGCACTGCTCTGTAGAAGTCAGGCCAAAAATATTTGCACTCTGGATAAACAAGAAAACTTTATACAGAATCTCGTCCCAACCACTGTTTCCCTCTCATTGGGTTACACTACAAATCTCCCCCTAGACTCAGACTGCAGAAGAAAATTGCTGGATGCCAAATGTTCACCTCCTTGTAGCTAATTTCCACATGCAGCAGGAACCTGAGCGATCTCACGAGGCCATCAGAACCAGCAGGCCCAGTGATCAGTTAAGGATTCCTAGCAGACGTTTGCAAATAAAATAATTCACACGGACTAATCTTGGTTGGAAGGAAACGCACAAGGCCTAAGGTACATCAAGGTGCAGAAAGGGGAGCTCAATTTAGACATATTTAGCCCAGTGAGCTTTCCTAGGCTTCCTCAACTTTTTTTTATCTTCATTGATTTATATATGATCAGGATGAAACTTACAAACATATGCACAAAAAGCTAGTGCTTCAATACTGAACAGGAAAAAACAATAATAATACTCCTCCAAAACTGAAATGCTCCATTTGAAAATGAATTGCTTTCAGAGTCACACACTTACATCAGAAAATAGCAAACACTATTTACACTCGAATATTCGAAAACAAAACACCATAATTACTATCTCATGAGAAAAAAATACAAATTCTATATAGTTCTTAGTGGACCTGGAGACTCTTCCTTTCTCATACAATGTTCTATGACTTCCACAAGGCCTTGAGATACTTGGGGTATCATCACCCTCTCCATTTTACAGGTGAGGAGAAAGGCGCTGACCTGTTCCCCTTTGTGACAAACCTTCCATTGTGACAGCTATCAAGGGGCTGAACGATGATTACCTCCAGGCTCCATGATTCCAACACAATGTTATTTTCTCTTCTACACATGGTTTGACTACGGGAAATTGTCACTTTGCACTTTGAAAGACGGCTAAAGGCTTATGTTAGCTTATGAGACTATGCCATGTAATAAAATTGCATAGTGATTTGGAAACTACAGTAAATATGGCCCCAACACTCTGTCATTGCTCAAAAGATGAATCCATTCATTTTCTTATTTTTGTGATAACAACACTTAAAATGTGATCTACGCTTTTAACAAATTGCATACAATATATTGTTGTTAACTATTGGTACAATGTTATAAAACAGATCTACAGAGCTTATTCATTTTGCTGGACTGAAATTTCAGGCTGATCATTAGTAACTCCCATTTTCCCCTCCCCCAGCCCCTGGCAACCACTATTTTACCTTTTGATTCTATGAATTTGACTGTTTTAGACACCTCTTATAAGTGAAATCATGTACTATTTCTTTTTCTGTGACTGGCTTATTTCGCCTAAAATCATGTCCTCCAAGTTCATCTGTGTTGTAGCATATTATAGAATTTCTTTCTTTTTAAAGGCTGAGTAATATGCCATTTGATGTACATACCACATTTTATTCATTCATCTATCAATGGACATTTAGGTTGTTTCCACATCTTAGGTATTGTTACTAGACTAGGGTTGCAATGAACACGAGTGCAACTTTTTTTCTAAGATCCTGATTTTAATTCTTTTGGATAAATAATCAGAAATGAGATTGCTGGATCATAGATCATATGGGAGTTGCCCTCTTTTTTTTTTGTAGAGACCGGGTTTCTCTGTGTCACCCAGACTGGTCTTGAACTACCGGTCTCAAGCAATCCTCCCACTTTAGCCTTCCAAAGCACTGAGATTACAGGTGTGAGCCACGATGCCTGGCTGTATTTTTAATTTTTAAAGGAACCTCCATACTTTCTTCCTAAGTGGCTGAACCTGTGGAGACATTATGACTCTTGCCAATGAAAAAACAACAACAAAAAAATCCATCAAAGTAGCTGTACCATTTTGGATTTCCACCAGCGGGGTACGAGGTTCTAGTTCCTCCATATCTTCTTGCTTCCTGCTTAAGCTGGAACTTCCATAGGTCTTCAGGGTTAGGTTTAACTCTCCTGTTTTTATTTTTTATTCAGTTTTGTAAATGTGGCTCACGGTATTCTGTGTATCACATCAAACTCAATGGACTGAACCCATTCTAATCCTATTTTACTTGAGATTTTTCCAAGAAGAACCTACTTTGTTGCAGAAAAAAACTGAAGCTAATGTTCATGGCCTTGCCAGAGCTGTCTGCAAAATGCACCAGCCAAATGGAATTATGCAAAGCTTATGGAAGAAGGCTCAATTAAATTCAAAAAGCTGGTATTGTGCCCTCAATTGTGCCAGCATGGTGCTAGGCACTGGGGATACTAAACCAAGTAAGAATACAGCTTAAACAAATAATGACATAATGTAAGTAATGTGGTATAATAGACATGAAGTATATGGATATTAAGGGGAAAAGGTATGAATGGTGATATTTAAAAGTGACATTGGAGGATAAGCAAGCAGCTGAGATAAGCCTTGAAAAGTTAGTATCAAGTATACCAGGCCAACATGGAGAGGTATTCTATACCCTGTACCACAGGTGACAAATATGGACACACTTGACACCATTCCCATTACTATGCCCAGGGGAGACATTATTAAATGAATGTAATGTTCAACCAAGATATGGTCTCAGAATCTTTATTAATGGTGTTTCAAAGAGCACTACTGGATGCGTCCTAAATGGTGTGCAAGATCTTTGCCATGTGCCGTTGATTTTGAACAAGCCAACCTTAGTGACATGATTCAATAGTATTCCAAGACAGCTTCAGTGAGCCAAAGTTTGAAAAAATATATCTCCCTTTTTAATGTTTCCTTCCAGGTGGAAAGAACTCCGCTCATGTGAAACTTCTGGTCCCCTATGCCAGTGTTATTTATACTGCTTCAGTAAAGGGGGACTAAACTATCTGACTGCTAAATTTGCAAAGAATGACTTGTCTGTATATAGCTCATCTCCCCACATTTTCCTTCTGGGAAGAGCAGTTCTCAGTGTCTCCACCCTGTATGTCTTTTCAAAGTAAGTGTTTGTCTCGGTGCAGCCTGCCCCACTCAGCCTGAATGCCATTCAGTGGGCTCTTTGGTTTTTAATCGAAAGTATATCCTTTGAAAAAAATTAGAGGAAAGTAAAGTTATGTGTCAGAAGATTGTATGTGATAAAGAAATAAAAGAAATGTCACTGGAGGAAGAAGAAGGCAAAGCTTCTTTCTGCATTTGTGTCATGGACTTCCATGCCAAAAAGTGATCATTAAGTTTGTTTATTCCAAGGAACCAAGGGTGGGGCTAGAGGTAAGTCTGAAAGAACCGTCAATCTTTATCTTAGAGAAGAGCTGATCATTCAGTCCCAAGCTTTGGTGTTTGGCAGAAGGAATGGGGACACTACACTTCAAAAGGTGAGTTACTGACCAAAGCCAAGTCTGTCCTTCTGGGCTAGGGTCATGTGGCTAACACTTCCCACCATGGGAATGCCACAGTATGTACACAATTTCCCCTAGCTTTATACATTGGAGTAAGAGTGTGCAGATTGTTTTCATAATGGCTCCCGCTATATCATGTCCTCCTGTGTCCATACCTCTTTGCATTGTGATTTTTGTCACTCCTCCCATCAAGAGATGAAACTGATTTCCTAACACTTTGAATCTGGGTTGACCTTGTGACTTGCTTTGGCCAATAGGAAGTGGCAGATGTGATACCGTATGACATTTGAGGATAAGACATACGAGGCCTTGAAGCTTCCATTTTCACCCTCTGGGAATTCCCATCACTATGTAAGGAAGCCTGAGAGAGACTACCGCATGATAAAAACCATGTAGAGAGAGTCAAGCTCGCAACCAGTACCCAAGCTCCAAACATGTGAGTGAGGCCATCTTAACTCCTTCAGGCCCAATTAGACTGCCAGATGATTACAGTCACACAGACAACCCCAGGTAACACCAGCAGAATAACCACCCAGCTAACCCCAGCAACTCAAAGAATGAGGAGAAATAATAAATCATCGTCTTAAGCCATTATATTTTGTGGAGATTTGTTGTAATGCAAAGGTAACTGGTATAACGAGTGTGTTTCTCTGCAGATATAAAGGCTTTCCCCAGAACCTAACCCACATTGAACATGAAAGTCCTGTATCTTTAACTTCTTAAAAGTGCCAGTCCTCCGTGTGTGTGTGTGTTGTTGTTGTTGTTGTTTGTTATTGTTTTTAAGAGCAATACCATTTCCTTCCCTCATTGTCTTGGGCTCCTTTAGTAAGAATCTACTTAATTTTGCATCAATAACTTTTAGGAGAAGCTATAGTTGACTAAACTTATTTCTCTTTGTTTATTATGCTCTTAATGAAAGGCACATCCCTTCTCCCAGATTCCTATTCCACCACTTAAAGTATCTTCTCTTCCTCCCATATTCTCCAAGGTAATTGAACTGTAATAGGGGAAGACATACATTTCTTGCAAGAGAAAATTCTTTTTTTTTCCAGACAAATCCTTATCATGCCAATGGTGTGCTTCACTCTGGCTGTTTGTAGCTGGGCACAGTGACTAAATCACTGCTAATTAGAGATATGCAAGCCTCCAAGGGATTTGACTCAGACTCCAATTTGCAAATACGGTTTGTGTGTTTGGATTTGGATTTAGATTGGACTAAAACTTCCCTTTGCACATTAACTTAAAGCTTTTGTTCTTAAATCCAGCCAAAACATTGCACTCCCATTTATGCATGGGAACACACACTAAGCAGAAATGACAAACTCTTTTCAAGTCAAGGTAAGGGTTTGTGCTTTTCCCAGTTATGGAAAATCGGACATTCTTATCTGGAACTGTTCTGTCTTTCTAGACCCTCATTAGAGCATCAAACCTTCATGGTTGTTTTGCTTTTTGTCTTTCAGATTTTCCTTTGCTGTTATTGTTGGTGATAGGGGCAGGGGGTAGTTTTTGTATTTTGGACATTTTTTGGTGAGCCACGCTGAATGGAAATTTGAAAAGGTATTCACAGAACTCTTTTTTGATCTATGTGATGGCTAACAGCCCAACTGTATTTTCACAAATTCACTGGATAACTTTGGAAGCCTTATACACTGACATCAGTTAACAGCTTACTGCGTGTTTGTGTTCATTTAATCCCTAAGACAATCATAAGAAGTGAGGCTAATATTTATTACTCCTGTTTTTCAGATAGGTTATGTATGGAGCGAGAGGTTACAAAATTAACCATGCCATGTTGCCACCCTGTTCTTGATCTCAGTCCATTAAAAAGCAAACCACAACACGGCAAGAGTCATCTACAGGAAGTTCTTCTATCATACGTACTTAGATATTAATTGTGTTATTCTGAAATAAACTGCAAATAACTAGCCCTGCATTAATAAATCACAACTTAGACATGAAATCCAGAATATTAGAGTTTAGATATTATCTAGTCTCCAATTCCTTTCTTTTGCATGTAATAAGATTTTTTAAACTCAAAAAAAATGTTACTTGTTGAAGGTCAAGGGAAGGGCTGTTGGTAAACATGGTTTAGAACCAGCTGCACTTTTCGCATTACAGCACATGGTGCTCAGCAGTGAGTTGAAAGTAGGTCGTCCCTTGGGAAAAGTTGGCTTGATTCTCCAGGAGGTTCACTCTTGAATGGAATTGATCTTTCTGAATTCACAATTATCCAGGGCATGGCCTTCAACCTTACAGACTCAAGAACTCCTATTTATTGTTTCAGCTTAAGAAAAGGATCCATCTTTAAGGGGTAGAACCACGTTAACTAAACTCACAGGTTGAAATAATATAAACCAGAGTGTAAATGTATTTACACCAAGTAATACCATTATTACTGCCTAACATACAGTATGATAGTTAAAATGTTGAAATAAAGCTCTAAATTTGAAAGACATAGCATGCTCAAAGGCAAGACAAGCATATCAACAGACCCAAAGGAGAAGGAAAAAACCCAGAGATACATGGACTTTGTAAAAGCCACCTATAGATCCTCAGGACCAGAAACAAGAAAAGGCAGCTGAGAGTTTCTCAACCTTACACCACTGATATTTGAGGCCAGATAATTATTTATTGTAAGAGGTTGTCCTGTGCACTGTAGCATGTTTAGCAGCATCCCTGGCCTCTACCTTCTGCATGCCAGTGGCAACCTCTCTCTCTACCTTCCACCAGTCATGATAATCAAAGATATCTTCAGCCACTGCCAAAATATCTTCTAGTTCAGAACCACCAAGGAAATCTAAATGCACATTAGAAATGGTAGGACTCCAGAGACAGACTCACTTTATAAAACCAAAGGCTGAGGTAGGGTGTTGATTTATGAACAGAAGCAGACAAGATGCCATCACTATCCAGGTTCGGCCAGCTGTTGTCACACCAGGACTAAGGAACAGGAGGGACAGAAACAGCTACCCTTCCAGAGTCCTGGCCAAGTCTTCCACTGGCACCAATGACTGGGTCAGTGATCCCCTGACATCCCAGTGAGCTGTCTATGTCTCCAAGTTTTGCAAGGGCACTTTTGTGCCACTTCCATCTCCCACAGACTTTAACCTTGATTCCTAACCCCCAATACAGTGTTCCCTGCACTAGAACACACAGCCTGGAGCCCTCTCAGACTATGATTTTAAGGCACAAACTGTGCGTTATTCATTATTGCACTGTCAGTTCATATGAGCATCTGACACAAAATACCTATTGAACAAAATGTTCATTGAATGAACAAATGAACAAAAAGATGAATGGACTAGTCTGGAGTGAGCATCTATTTTGTACTGGGTTCTGTGCAAGGTCTGTTAGACCAAGAGCTTTGGCATCCTACAGAGCTGGGTTTGAAGTGAAGCCTCTTGCTAGCTGTGGGACTTTGGGAATGTCACTTAACTTCTCTGAGCTTTCATTCCTTTAGTAGTAAATAGGAAAAACAACGGAGCTTTTAGCACATTGCCTTACAGACAGTATGGTTTTGACATTATTTTTCTTATCTGCCAATATAATGGCCATTAAATTCTGACAACCTGTAAAATGAATCCTTTCAGTAGCCTCATTTTACAGATGACAGAAAGAGGGTCAAAGGGGTTAAGTGATTTCCTCAGGGGCAAAGTCCTGTTAGTGGAAGAGGCAGGATCCACACCTATTCTGATCAGTTGAGTCCTGGTGCTTCTCAGGACACCAACCTTCATCAGTTCAACTCCTGGAGGCCTTGCCAAGGAGACTAGAAGTATCCTTAATTAGTGGAGGGAGTATATTAGTTTGAGTCAAGGCATTTTCGTTTTGTTGTCTGAGAGACTTCACTTTCCTTATTCTGTGTCTAAGAGGATGCAGGGACATCATTTCCTCCTTGAGCAGAGTTGATGTCTCTAAGCTCTACCGTCCAACTCACATAATCAGTCCAGGCCTTCTTCAACCTCCTATAGCCAGGATTAGGAATTTTGGTTTTATTGGTTAAGATCATTGAAGTTATATATATATATATATATATATTGTACTTCAAAACTATGCAAATAAATCTCTTAGTCTGGTTTCTTTTTCAGAGTTTCTCTACTTTTTTAGGTAAAATTTTTGGATTAGTTTGTACTTTGGGTTCACAGCATTTGGTAATTAAAGGGTTGACTGGACATGACCAGAGTTGGCTCTATCAGCCTCCTAAACTCATGACATCAGCTCCATCAGGATGTCAGGAAGCTGGGTGGTTTTCTCTGTAGCGGTAGATTCTGGGACCACCAAAATGAATTTGAATGCCTGAGAACAGGCGAGATTGAGTAATTGTGGGATCTTGACTCAGCACTCAAACTTCCAACACTCTACATGAGAAAATGTCACTTTACCAAATTAAAAGAGTAGCCTAATAATGTTTAAATCAAATACAACTCGCCTGTGATACTGGCAAGCTTTTTCATCAGTAGGAGACAGACTAGTGACGTAGAAACACTTTGTGGAATTTCCAGCTCAAAATCCACAACAATAACGAACATTTATGGAGAAAGTCACACCCAGAAAGGAGCCCATGATGCTGTCACAGATTCCCATGTGAGGGGACAATGATTGAATGGAGGCCTCAGCTCTCCTCTGCTTTCTGGTAGTTTATTTAACACAGTATTTCTTCCCTAAGAACAGCTATTTCTTTTTTTTTTTTTTTTTTTTNTTTTTTTGAGACAGCATCTCACGCTGTTGCTAAGACTAAGGTGCAGTGGTGTAATCTTGGCTCACTGCAACCTCCGTCTCCTAGAGTCAAGAAGTTCTTGTGCCTCAGCCTCCCAAGTAGCTGGAACTACAGGCATGGGCCATCATGCCTGGCTAATTTTTGTATTTTTAGTAGAGACTGGTTTCACCATGTTGGCTAGGCTGGTCTTGAACTCCTGACCTCAGGTGATCTTCACCTTAGCCTCCCAAAGTTCTGGGATTACAGGCATGAGACACCATGCCAGGCCCGAACAGCTATATCTTCTGATTCCAAGTAAGCATATAAGCCAAAGGCTCTCTTGCTTTCCCTTCCTGGGAAAAAGTTTCTTTTGAACTCCTCTAAGTGTGAATCTCTGCTGTGTTGTTTTTTGAGTTGCTGTCCTTCTCCCTGCCTGTCCCGGAAGATCAGCAGTGATGCTGCCCACTATTCACAGTAGCAAACATATTGAATCAACTTAAGAGTCCATCAGTGGATGAAATGTGCCAATCAAGAAAAATGCTGAGACCAAGTCTCAATCATTGTAGGAGGTTTATTTGCCAAAGTTAAGGATGTGTGCCTGGGAGGCAAAGTTAAGGACTTGCACCTGTGCGTTTCTCCGAAGGTGATTTTGGGGGTCCAAATTTAAAGGGGAAAGGGCAGGACATTGATAAGTACACAATTTTATGTAAAAGGCAGGGTAGGGAAAAATAGCACTTATGCTTTTGTCTGGGTCAGTGAATCCGCATTTCTTTACATAAGGTGACAGACAAATGGGGCAGGGTAAAAAGGCAGGGAATCTGCATTTTACATAAGATAACATGAAACATGGACAAAATGGGGCAAGGGAACAGTCAGATATACATTCATGTCTTGTGGGCCAGGAGGTGACTGCACCTGTAAAGATGAGCTGTCCATTTACATTGCCATGGTGAAATTTTAACAGAAACACCTTAAAAGATCTTGCAGCTCACTAGGAATTTCCTTGTGGGGAAAATATATGGGGAGAAGTGTAGCTTTGCATCTTGTATCCATCTTATTGAGAAACCAAAAGGTGGTAGCAGGTTTGGGTGACTCAGTTCCCAGCTTGACTTTTCCCTGGCCAAATGAGTGTGGGCTCCCAAAATTTAATCTCCTTTTACAAATGGATAAAGAAAATATGGTCTATACACACACCGGAATACTATTTGGCCATAAAAAAAGATCAAATCTTTTCTACTCTCTCCTTGGTGGAGTGCTCAGATACATGACGTGAGTCATTTTTAGTGATATGGATGGAATTGGGAGTCATTGTAGTAAATGAAATAAACCAGGCACAGAAAGACAAATATCACATGTTCTCACTTATAGGTGGGAGCTAAAAAAGTTGATCACATGGAAATACAGAGTGAACGGGTGGTTACCATAAGCTGGAAAAGTTGTGTGGGTGATGGGGAGAAATGAAGACACATTGGTTGATGACTATAAAAATTCAGTTAAATGGAAGGAATAAGCTCTAATGTTCCATAGCAGGGTAGGGTGACTACAGGTAACGACAATGTATTGTATTTTTCAGAATAGATAAAGACAGGCCCTGAAACACTCCCAACACATAGAAATAATACTCAGGTGATAGAGATCTAAATACTCTGACTTGATCATTCCATATTTGATACAGGCAACAAAATTTTATGTGTGCCCCATTAATATGCATACGTAAAATGTATCAAAAAAAGAAGTAATGCTGCCAAAGCCTGTCCTCCTCCCATCTTGATTTGAACTCTGCTGCTCCCCAGCTGCTGCTCCTGCTGAATCCTGCTCCTGTTGCTCCTTCTAGCCCTGCTGAGGATTCAAGAGGCAGCTGGCTTGTGAGGCCTCATGGCAAGTTTCCCTAGGCCTCTGCTAACATGAACTGAAATGAATGAGGCAAATAAGCAATATGGCACCACAGTGATGAAGGTAAGATGCCCCTTGTGAGGACTCTATGTGCAGAAGAGCCAAAGACACCTGGCTTCTCAGCCCACTGGGCATCCACAGGCAGTAGCCTGTGTCATCAGGGATGGGAGAACGATAATGATGGGGGTATACTATAGCCGCTATTGTAAAATAGTGACCTTGGCATAACGATCTGGAAGTGGTTTCCATGATTCAATTATTTTTATAAATGAACCAAACCCAAATATTTTTTCTGATTTGATTTTTCATGATTTACTTTGCATTCTTCATGCATCCAAAAGGTTGTTTACACACTGAGCAATTGCAGGATATGTTTAGAAGCCAGTATACTACAACAGTCTCTGTCCTTGGCTTCTCTGGGTGTGTATACGTGTTTTTCAAGCAGAGGTGGACTTTTCCTTTTATTAAAACCTCTTGATCTTTTTTTCACCATTGCTACCTGTATCTGGATTGGAATGGCCAAGTTCTTGGAGGGAGGTGGAAGATGAAAGAGATGAAAGAAGCCCCTTAGATAGCTTTAGACCCCAAACAGGAAAGCTCAACGTCCTTCCTCATAGTCACGTCTCTAACAAAATAAAATTTAAGAGTCTAAAGTGCTTCTGATGAAAGCACAAAGAAAATATCACTGCATCCTAATGTATCCTCAATTTCCTAATTGTAAAATCCCTCAAAAAAGGGGAAGGACAGGGGGATAAAAAAGAAGCCTGAACACACTGAATTCTTTGGGGCCAACTGTTGGACTCCAGCATACCCTGGGCCCAGCCTCTTATCCAGTAAACACTGCCAATCTAAAGACCCATGCTGGGGGTGAATTTAATGAATATGATCAGGAAAGTAGCACTTTAATTTCTTGCCTCATCTCTGGAGAAGGTTGGCCTTATAAATTTATTGTTTAAACAGCAAACAAATAATAATCTAGTGTATTGAAGTCCTTGCTTTCTCAGACTCTGTAGGAAGGACTTGCATTTGTCTCTGGGAAATTGTTTTCCTACTGTGGAGGGTTTGCTCCCTCCAGAACTAAAACTGGTTTCGTTTCATCCTTAGGCATCCATGAGTCTTTTGTTTTAAGAAACAGAGAGCAACAACCCATAACCTCAAGCAAAGAGGTTACATTAAGGCATAGAGATATTAAGGCAGGCAAGAAACTTACTGATTGAAGAGAACAGAACCCACTCCCCCTCACTCCCTTGACAGGTTCTTCATAATTTTCTTTCACTGAGAATATTCAGCCTTTTAAGGCTGTTTCTTCTGTCCCTGCCTCTATTCATCAACTATCTTATGCTTTTCGCTGGTACTCAGCATTCTTTCTCTACCTCAATAAATTTGTGAGTGAATGGATAAAGAAATGAATAAATGCGCATAGTTTCTGGTCCATTGTCACATGGCCTTGTTCACAGCTTTGACTTACTCAGAGCCCATCTTGGCTGTTGCTGCTTTGTGGGGTGGGTGTGTGTGTGTGTGTATGTGCCTGTGTGTGCACGTGTGCATGTGCGCGTGTGTGCTGCTTCTTACATGCTTCTCATTTCTGATTCTCAAGTCAAATGTCAGGGACCTAACAAATCACTATTGTCACTGCTTAAGCAGAGATGTTTTTCATACCAGGTCACTTTTTATATCAAGTCACTGTAGTCCAGTCAGCTTTTTCATTGTTCTGATTTGTTTTGCTTTGTTTCCTGGTGGTATTTTGTCCCCTGATGGAAAGGGGCAAGATCCTGTGGTACAGAACAGGATCTATACTTACATTAGGCAGTTCTCTCTAAGGATTGCCAGATTCAACAAATAAAAATGCAGGATGCAATATTTTGGAATCCTTTTAAAATTACTTGTTTATCTGAAATTCAAATTTAGCTGGCTGTCCTATATTTTATCTGGCAACCCTACTTTCCACCCAAGCAGTTGAATGCAGCAGCTTCACATGGATGGGATTATTGGGTGCCATGATAGATAGGTGTGTCCAGTCCCCAGTTTTTAATGGAAATCTGTCTTAAGCAAAGATAGAATCACTGTCTTAACCAAAAAAGGACATGAAACGCAATTTTGCCATGTCTTCAGAATACAGGGTCATCATTCTGTCCATTTTGGTTCTGTGTTCAAGGCTTAGCGTGGCCTCTAGCTGTTAGCCCCTGCCCTGGAGTTCCCATTTCTTGGTTGCTTTTTCTATAGTTAAGCTGTTCCCTTTCTTTAGTTGTCATTGCTCACTACTGGGCATGTGCTTGCCTCTTTTTCTTTCAAATTTATAGTTTTTTGTGGTTTTGTTTCTATGCTTTCTCTTTTCCTATTAGGCTAAAGCAAAGGTGAGTAGAGACACTGACAGATTAGGGAATTTTATGAGCACTTTAAAATTTCCAAACCTATGAGCTGTAATACTTGGATTTTACGGCACTGGCTGTTCAGAAGTATTTTGTTATGCCAAGGATAGGGGGGAAAAGTGCATTTATTGTCACTGAGTAGTGTTCCAGGCCCTCTGCTAGATATGACACATAACTTACTGTGTTTCAAATACGTGCCATTTGATCATGGCTAAGTTCCTAATAGAGAGTTCTATTACTCTGTTTAAAAATATATTACAACATTGTGTAATCTTTGTTTTAGCAGGCCTTTCCTGAATGAGCAAAAATGAATAAGGTTAAAAATAATATTTAAAATTGTATCTTTTAAAAAAAGTTCTGAGCTTCTACCAGTGTAATTCCTGACATAATACTGCACTTTGCCAAGCTTCTCCAAGACTGCTCCTCCTCCTGTGTCTCCAAGTTCAAAGAATGGCAGCGCAATCCACACAGTTGCCCAGCTCAGAAACCCAAGAGTCTCACCGGACTTCCCACTTTCCTATAAATTCAATCCATTATGAGTCTGGCTAGTTTGACCACCTGGTTCTGTTTTTATCCTTTTTCTTCTTTCCACCAATACCAACTTGTCCCTGGTTGGGTCTTTTTAAATCTTGCTGAGTGAAAATAGCTTCTTTATGTATCTCTCTCTTTTAGTTTTTCCTCCTCTGTACCCACAAATCAATGCACATTGTTATCAGAATGTTTTCTCTAAAACACAAATCCATCCACGTCACTGATCTACCTGCAACGAACTCTCTACTGGTCCCGGGAGCCAAATGCTCCCAGAATCACAGTCTCCTCTCCCACTGTGCTTCTTCCACTCACCTTGAACTTTACACTCTGAAAACAGTTTGTATTCCGTCTCCCATGCAGCACTATTTCACACCTCAGTAGCTTTGCTAATACTGTGTTCTCTGCCAGAAACTCTCTTAGCGACTCTATTGCGTAGCCAGCTCCTACTAATGTCTTTCAAAATTCAGTCCAGTCATTCTCTTTCATCCTCTCCTGACCTAAACCCCAAGCTGGATTATGTGTTTCTCCTTTGTGTCCCTGTAACTTCCAGAATATCTCTTTCTCACAATATTTACTGTACAACATCAAACTTATGCATGTGACCTTTCCTTAAACCAGACTATCAGCCTCTTGAGGGTAACAGTATTGCTCATTTATGTGTACTAAGGACAGCGGCTTTCACGTAGGAGATGATGCAGGTCCATGAAATTGATCTTGGAAATTAGAGCATCTAACATGTTCTTGGAAGATTTTGGGTTCCCCTCTCCACCAACAGCACAGTCTCTGCTCACCGCCAGGCAGCCCTGTTTTGCAGCTGCTGCTGTCCTGCTGATGTAGATAACACGGCAGCAGATCCTGGCAGTTGACTGGCTGAGTGTTGCTTTTGCTTTGAAAGGCTTCTTACCACTGCTGCTACATCTCTCCCAAGTCTCCCTTCCAGAGGGACTTTGCATTTCTCTTTATAGTCCCAATTATATTTTTTAAATATTTAGTTACACTCATAATATCAGCTCTCTACACTCCAGAAGAGATTTTGTTACACTTATAATCTCAGCTCTCTACAGTCGAGTTCCCCGAAAATTAATGTGAAGGACAGT